CTTGTTAATAGCCCTTAGATCAAATAGGTAGTGACGTAAGCCGTCACTCAGTCAGTCAATAAGTATTTATTAAATGCTTATTTACTCTGTGCCCAGCACTCTGCTAAGTGCTAGCGATACAAAGAAAGACAAAAACATGGCCCCTGCCCTCAAAGAGCTCACATTCTAATAGGGAAGACAGTGATGACTTATCCCATTTAATCTTCACAACCCTGTGAGGAAAGCTAATATTATCTCCAGTTTTGCTGCTGTTCAGTCATTTTTCAGTCATTTTGGACTCTTTGTGACCCCATTTGGAGTTTTCTTGGCAAAGTTACTTGGCAAAGTTCACCATTTGCTTCTCCAGTTCATTTTACAGAGGAGGAAACTGAGACAAACAGGGTTAAGTGACTTGCCCAAGGTCACACAGTAAGTCTCTGAGGCTAGATTTGAACTCAAGAGTCTTCCTGACTCCAGGCCAAGCACTCTATCCACTGTGCCACATAGTTGCTCATTTTCATTTTATAGATGAAGAAACTGAGGCTGAGAGAAGTTAAAGGACTTCAATCCTCACAACAACCCTGTAAGGTAAGTGTTACAGGTGAGGAAATTGAAGCTGAGAGAAGTGAAATTACTTGTCTAGGGTCACACTGCCAATGTTTGAGGCAGAATTTGAACTAAGGACTTCTTGACTATAAGTTCCCACTCCTTTCACTAGGCCATCTAGTTGTTTCTTACTTAGAAAAGTCATCTTAGGGGCAGCTAAACAGCGCAGTGGATGGAGCACTGACCCTGGAGTCAGGAGGACCTGAGGTCAAATCTGACCTCAGACAATAGCTGTGTGACCCAGGGCAAGTCACATAACCCCCATTGCCTTCACCTTCCCCCACCAAAAAAAAAAAGTCATTTTTCTTAACCACTCAGGTTGAAGAGGTAGTATAAAACAGGAAAGGGATAGAAAGTAGGAAAGGGATGGAAGATAGGGGCATTATTCCTCTACCACCACCACCATGATGCAAATGAGATGACTGAATCACAAGGAGGCGAGAAAAGTGATGTCTAAGTCATTCAACAAGATAAATGGGAAAAGCTCACACCTAAAGTTACACATGCCTGCTGGACTGGATATAGGCCTACATATGACAAAGATAAATGAAAACACCCTACCACATGTTCTAAATAAAGATCTTTTAGTCAGGAGTCTGAAGACCTTAATTCAAACTCAATTCCAATGACTCAATAGCTAGGTGACTGTGAATAAATCACTGGACCTCCCTATCAAATTTCTCGTCTATAAATGGGATTAATGATGAGAGAAGCATCCTGGTTCAGTCATATCCAACTCTTCATGACCCCATGGACCATACTGTCCATAGGATTTTCTTGGCAAAGACACCAGAGAGGTTTGCCATTTCCTTTTCCAGATCATTTTACAGATGAGGAAACTGAGGCAAAGAGGATTAAGTGACTCAGCCAGGGTCACTCAGCCAGTAAGTGTCCAAGACTAGATTTGAACTCAGGTCTTCCTGAATCCAGGCCCAGCAGCTACACACTGTGTCACCTAGCTGTCCCCAAATGATTGATTTAGGTCCACATAATAACCAAGTGGCAGAACTTGAGCTTGAAATAAGGTCTTCTGACTCTCAGCCTAGAGCTTTCTTTAGAACAGGAAACAGCCGGAGTCATCCCTTATCTTTGCCCTATGACTAGCCTGTTCCTTTTCCCAATATATACATTTTTACTTCTTTTCTTTGAAGTTCCCATTGGTTGTATGCTGTAGCCTGCTCCTACCCACCATGTACCCTTTCGTTACTTTCTGAGTGATATTCATTTTTAATTCTTTGGAGAGTTTTGTATGTCTTACTGCAATAGAGCAAGACCAGCAGAATGGTGGTATTAAAAAGATGGGCCTTTGTTTCCATGGTATCATTAAAGGAACTCTGCAATTTCCCAAAGGCAATCCAGCATGTGCTCTCCTCCTAGGCATGTGGCAAATTTAAAGTCTTTTTTCTAGGCTTCAACCAGTCCATGGGATGGCATTGGAAGGAAAGCAGCAAGGCTGAAGGGTCATTTGGCATACATTCAAACATTCCACCCACAACATACAAACACGAGAGATTGCTCACTCCTAATCTTGTCTGGTTTATACACTTTCCTCAATCCAAAGTATTCTGTTCCTGAGGGGAGGGGAAGGAGTCATTCAGGGAGATAAATGGGAAAAAACTCTCACCTGACGTTGTACGAGCCTACTGGACTGGACACCCATAGGCACAGAAATGGCAACGATAAAAGAAGTACGCATCCCTACCTGTGCATTCTGTGGGACTCTTGCCCATGCTTAGAGAATGTCCTCCTGCTTAGGAAATTACCTGGACACAATTCTGGATTTCTACTTCCCGTCTCTTTAGACAATATATTCCTCCCTCCCTATCCTCCCCCCCCACCATTCCCCACTAATATTTCCCACTGATACATTTAAGTCCCCATTAAACCTGGCTTTCTCTGTCCTTCCCCTCCCTTTTTCCTCTATTTCTTTCTCCATCTCCTCGCCTTACTCAACGACAGTCATTTTTTTTTTTTGATAAACCACAGAATTTCCCATTCTCCCATTTCCACTTTCCAAGGGAATTTCTTGGCTGGTCTCCTGATTTGACTTCTCCACATGAACAAACTCATCTCCTTGTTTTCCACTCACGGAATACCAGCAGTCAACATTCCCTAACCACAAGCATGGAATTTGCCAGGATTTCCCCTGTGTCCTCCATTGGTATCTCTGAAAAATAGTTTCTTTATCTAAAGGAACACATCCCTCATTTCCTTATCAGGAACTCCCCCATGTAGGGATTATGCCCACCCAGAACAGTAGGAGTGGTGGGAGCAAGAAGGGGTGGTCCTGCAAAAGATATGCTCTTTTCCTGGATCTGTTTAGTCCTTAGGGATAGGGACTGGACTTGGGATTTCAAGGATACATGGAAGCCAAGGTTCAAAGAACTCCCTCTACCAATGCAGGTCCTGCTTTCTCTACACCTTCCTACCTTAGAAAACTTCCCAGAGCACTGAGAGGTTAAGGGATTTGTTTGGTATCACACAGCCAGAGTGGATCTTGAACTCAGAATTTCCTGACTTTGAGACCAGTTCTCTATCTACTATATCTCTCTCCTTTGGGTCCTTAACTGTTTCTATTTTCTCCTAATTTTGGACAGAGGGGAAGGGAACAGACTTTGGCTGTCTCTTCTAGCCATGAAGGAGTGATCTTAGATTTCTATTATTGTTGTTTATAAAACAGAAACCTCTCCTTCTACAATTACAGTCCAGGTTGAAATCTACTCCCCTTCCCTGACTCTTCTTTCTCATCCCATCGTGGGAGGCACTTGCAAAACAGGCTGTAAAATCCTCAAAAGAAAACCCAAGAAAGGTTGAAGTTCAGAGAAGAGGAGGGAGATTGAAATGGGAAATGGGAGAGTCACATGAAACTCAGGGGAATGGAAGGGAATGGTGGGGAGGGCTGGATTGACAAGGGCAGGGCAGGGCAGGCATGGGGAGAAAACCATTGCTCCCACCAGGGAAAGTTTCATTGGCTCATCTAAGACAATGTGGCCCAGATGAGCTATATCTCAGAGCAGGACTCGAGCAGAGAAACACTGAAGCCAAACCAGCAGACAAAGCCAAGTATTGCTGACCCAGCTGTCCTCTTGCTCTGGGATAAATACAATGGTACTCCTTCTTCTGGCTCCTGGTCAGACCTAATAAGACTTCCTTTTTTGGAAACTCTCTGAAGAGATCAGTCACCACTTGGGCATCAGGAAGTACCTTAAGGCTGAAGAAGAGAAAAGGGGGTGATAAGTCTAGTTTGAGTGGTTAAAAAGTCTTGTCCTAAAGATGTAACTGGAATGGGGGCAGCTCCAGTTCTTGGAGAGAAGGCAGAAAGCTTAGGGTCCTTCTGCGGATAGGTTCAAAAGATTATAGGCTGGAAACTTCAGAGAACCGTTACTCCTGGCCTTCATTTTGGAGATGAAGATAATGACAGGAAAAGACTTACCCAAGGTCACACAAGAGTGAGTACCAAAATCAATCAGTAATCTTTTCGATCATTAAAGATTCATTAAGCACCTACTATGTGCCAGGCATTGTGTGAAGTGCTGGAATCAGGATTTGAACCTGAGTCTTCTGATGCCAAACCCAATTTACTTTCTGCAACACGTACTTCAACATCGAAGAAAATGTGTCAGAATCTCATCAACCCTACATCATGGGCCTTCTGCATTGTTGGGTGATCTAGAATTGTTAATTAGCCTCTTCTTATCACCACAAGTCTCTGTGCCCCAGTCATAAAGAAATACTCATACCCTCAGATATATATATGTGGCCCCAAAATGATTTGTTCTGTTAGGTTTAGATTCAGTCAAAGGGTCGCACTTGAGGACCTAGAGGGCCACAGGTGGCCTCAAGGCTGCAAGTTCCCCACCCCTGCCACAGACCCATGCCTGGACATAGCTAATCCTCTCACCACTCCACACCACAGGGTCAGAAGCTTTGATCCACAATTTCTCTTGGACTAAACATCTTTCCAGCACTTATAGTAGATTTCTTTTTTGGTTTGCATTGTTCATTCTTGAGATTTCTATAGTCAAGCATCTCCACCTCCAAATGCTACCCTATATCCTTCTCCTCCTTATTTGGATCCCATGCCATTCCTTTTTTTTCTTCATAATTCCACTCCCAAAAGAAAGTCACCAAAGAGAGAAAGGGACCACTGCCCATTTGCAGTCAACGCCAGGGTACCCAGGTGGAGTGAAGTATGGAGTCTGAGTCTGATTCCTAGGTTCTATTCATGGTTCTGCCCCAAAGTAGCTGTATAAGACTGAGAAGCTCCATTCCCTAATTAGAGCCTCCATTTTCTTCCACATCAGCAGTGAGCAGAATTCTCCCTAGCTTTCTGTAAAACAGGGAGCTGAGCTCCTACACAGCTTCTGGAACAAGAATTAGTTAAGCAGATGCGAGGGGACATGTCTGCTCCTTACCTCGTCTGAGCACCAGGCACAGAGAGGGCTCACAGCAAGGCACTGCTGGCAGGAACTCACCCCCCGGTTGGTACAGACATTGGCCCCTGGAAAAAAAGATATAAAGGGATTAGAGACTAGTTGGGGTCGCATGTATAATTATGAACTCTTTCATTCTGTGTGAGTTTCCAGAGATGTAGACCATTGTCTCCTTCTCTGCGTGCCTCGCGAGCACACACGCGCGCACACACACACACACACACCTTGTTCTGTCTTCCTCTACATAAGTACTTCCACATCTAACCCAAAATTCACTAAATAAACATGACTAGACTTTAGGTTAGTCAGACATTTATTAAGCACCCATTGTATACAATAGTGGCTTAGTGGATAGAGCGCCAGGCCTAGAGTCAGGAAGATTCCTCTTTCCTAGTTCAAATCTGATCTCAGACACTTGCTAGCTGTGTGACCCTGGGCAAGCCACTTAAGCCTGTATGCCTCAGTTTCTTTATCTATAAAATGAGCTGGAGATGGAAATGGCAAACCACTCCAGTGTCTTTGCCAACAAAACCCCAAATGGATTCACAAAGAGTCAGACATGACTGAAAATGACTGAATAATCACAAAACAACACTGTATACAACAAAGACCTGTAATACACAGATTAGGGGGAGGTGATGAATGAACAGAAATACAAAAAGAGAGGAAATAATGCCCCTTCAAGAGTCATAGAACTTAGAACTAAACCTTATAAACCTATGTGGCCCAGCCCTCTCATTTTACAGATGAAGAAACTGAGGCCTAGAGAGGTGAATTGATTTGCGGTATGGTAGAAAGAACCTTAGACTTGGAGTCAGAACACCCAGGTGGAAGTCTTGGCCCTACATATCATTTACTAGTTATATGATCTCAAGAAAGCCACTGTTATCTCCTTGGGTCTCAGTTTCCATTATAAAAATGGAGATAATACCTATCTTGGAGTCAGCACAGCACAGTATATAGAGGAGGTCACCTTTGAAGTCAAAAAGATCTGGGTTTAAGACCTGCTTCGTTGGCTTTGTGACCAAACAAGAGACTTAATGTCTCTGTCCCAGGCAGACTCTAAGTTGCAGACAAGTAGCTGGTGGAGGGGATGTCCAGATTAGAATTCCCAACGGAAACAAAATCAAAATCCCAAGCAAGAAAAAAAAATAAAAAATAAAAAATAAAAACAAACCTGTCCTGCCTACCACACAGCACTGCTATGGGGACCAAATAAGACAATGTCGTGGGGGCAGCTAGGTGGTGCGGTAGATAGAGCACCAGCCCTAAGTCAGGAGGACCTGAGTTCAAATCTGACCTCAGACCAAACACTTGACACTAGCTGTGTGACCCTGGGCAAGTCACTTAACCCTAATTGCCTAAAAAAAAAAAAGACAATGTCGCAAAGCACTTTTTAAGTGAAAAGTCAAAAGTTGAAATCCTTATTTTTACTGTTAACTCCTCTACATTCCAGCTGGCGACACACCCAAAGCAGCTGCACCCTTTGCACCTGCCTAGTTCTACTACAACCTAAAACTTCCTCTTTCCAAAAGGCCTTAAAGCCTATGGCTGAGGAGAGCTGGAGTCCAAGCAGTGCTGGGAAAAAGAAGTGAGACCTCCTGGAACCCTCTCAAGCATCCTCCCCTTTTCCTTTTCCAAAGGGCAAAGGAATAAGGAATAAATTCTAGGATTTGTCTTAACTGTTCCAAGGTTAGGTGCCACAGTAATGCTCTCCAGAAAGCAGAGAAACATTGATGACAGGGGGCAGGAGTGGGACAGTCAAATTAGGCCAGACGTACTAAGCTGGAGGTCAAAGGGACTGAGACTTGGCTTATTCAGGAAAATCCTTCTTCCTCAACTTAGATCAGCTTCCCTGGCTGATCCCTGCCACTTCCAAATTCTCATAGTGCTGTGCTTGGATCTCTCTCCTGCACTCATTTCAATCTCCCTCAAACCAAAGTTATTTATGTACTTGGTCTTCCCTTGCCATCTCCAATATAGACTGTAAGCTCCTTGGGAGCAGGACCTGTGTTACATCTAGCTTTGTATATGGGGTGACTAGCACTGTATTGTGCCTTGCACTAAGTAGACCCTTAACTCAATCAAACCAGCTTCTTCCAAGCAAACCTCCTTTTTCCTTTTTAAGGGAGATCAGCTTTTTCTCTGTGTCCCAATGAAGAACCCTTCTGAGTAATGAAGACAAGAATTATCAGGGCCAACCACTTTTCAGAGCCAAGTTTCTGTGACTGGTTATTTAAGCAGTTTCCTAAGGAGCTCCTTGGCCTCCCATTTTGGAGGAATTTTCCTAGATGTCAACATGTTTTCCCAACGTCTCCTATAGTTCTTGGGCTGAAAAGATAGTCTCTCTGTCCATTTTACTAGAAAATTATGAAATCCCTCTTCCTACACATAAGCACATTTCAGGACATTAGCAGGGAGGTAGAACAGAAAGCTTACCGAGGAGAATTGAATGCCACTGACTAGTCGAATGACCTAGAACAAGTCATTTCTGCTATCCAGACCTTATTTTCCTAATCTGTAAGATGAAGAGTTTGGGACAGCTTATATTGTGATCATGTGGTCTCTTCCAGCTGTAATATTCTGTAACTCTAGGATCTGAGACCCCATTGCCAGTCTCTGGAGTTCAGTTCCCTATCTCTGACCTCCAACATCAAAGTCTATGATTTTCTATCCCATAAATGAAATTGCAGCTTATAAGCTGGTGTCAAACTTCTCTGAGAAAGGCATATGGCATCGTATATGTATTAATAGTTCTATATGTAGTACTGCCTGTGGACCACCACTCCTACACGGCACTCAATCCAGCATGTTGGGTCACCTAATGGACAGTTGCTAACTCAGGTTCTAAGGGCTATAACCTGTGTGTACTGCTATAACTCATTAGCCCTCACTGTCTATCTTCTCGCTAAACAGTGATAGAGGAGATGCAACTAGATCAAAGCAAAGGCATTTATTAAGATGGCATAGTAAGAACAGCGATCAAAGCAAAGGCATTTATTAAGATGGCATAGTAAGAACAGTAGCTACAAAACATTCCTTCCTCCCCCCCAATAAACCTGGGGCACAATCTCCCACAAATACACACGAAAAAAGTGGTTATAGAGTATAATGGTAATGAGGCACATATGTAGGGAATGCAGGTACCCAAGGTAATTCAAGTTTCGACTACTATAGGGCCTCAATGTCCTTTCTCCCCTTATGGAATCTTCATGAAGCTCCCCCCTGGGTGACAGTCCTTATGGTCTTGTCGCTGAACTCTAATGACTCTGAAAGAAAGTTGGGCCATCTTTTGTCTCAATTCTCACCTAGCTTCTAGTCATTGATGGGTGTTGCCTCAGACAAACTAAGACCTGGGAAAGACCTTAATGTAGAAAGTCCAAGGTCACCCACTGCATCCTGGGCCATTGCCGGTTGGCTTGACCTTTGTCTTGCCGCTGGACTCTGGAGGAGAGAGCAAGGCTGACAACTTTGTGCACTCTGCCTCACTCTAGTTCACGTGCAAGTTAAGACATCACCTTTGTGATGTCTTCAGGAAGGACAAACAATAATAGCTCTTCTGCTAGGCAGGTTACTAGGGTGGGTTCCCAGGGTCTGATCCTCTCTACAACTCACTTCTCAACTGCCAGGGCTAGTTCTCTGTTGAATCCATAGTCAGTTCTCTGTTGCCAGAGGCCATATTCATAAAAGCTGCTTCCTGTATCTAGTCACTCACTGACTCATTGACTCTCCAGGCCTGGAGAGTGTGTACTTCTGCTCCACCAAAAGTAGCTCAAACTCTCTCAAACTGTTTGACTTGTTTTTTATGGGCCATCAGTCGCGTGGCAAATTTTGATCCGGCCAATGGCATTGTCCCTCCTGATTAAAAAAACAAACAACTTGTCACTCTTTGTAAAGGGATAAAAGGTGTAGAGGCAAGAGTGTGCTGAAGCTGCTGAGGCTGATTCTTAAATTTTCAGGGTAAGCATTTATTCCCTGGAAATTAGCAAACTTCACATCATTGATTTATTATTTTAATTGTCTAGACTTAAGAAAATGATGGATAAAATGTTAATAATACAGATTAAACTTAAGAGAGTTTGATCAACATAAAACCCCTGAGAAGTAAGTGCTATTATTATCCCTATTTTACAGTTGAAGAAACTGAGGCAGACAGAGGTTCAGTGAATTGTCCAAGGGTCTGATGCTGGTTTTGAACTCGGGTCTTTCTGACTCTAGGAAAAGTACTCTATCTATTGCACAATTTAGCTGCCTAGGGCACAATTCTTAAACAATACAGAACTAAACATCCTTACACAAAGATCCAGATCTACCATAGCTAGCAGGTCCAGAGCCTACATTTACCTTCAAATACGTAATTATACATAATAGAGCCAGAAACCATAAACATAAGGGTGCACGTCCATACAGGACAAGGAGTCTGAAACCAGGCTTGTCCAGCCAACAGCGTCTGGTCAACTGACTTTGACTCATGTGGTCACTTTCCCTACCCTCCTCCCACTCTACCTTTAGCCAGCTGTGGAAATAAACACTTCCACCCACTCCTTGTCGCCAGGCACAGGGCACAGAAAGACCGGCTTGGGCTAAACCTAGCTGAGGCCCCTGCCTCCTTTCCTACTCCCTCAGTGGAAGTTTTTATGGAAACCTGTGTCTGGGAATACATCGGGAGGATGTGGCAGTACTTACGAAGGGATGGGGGCACAACGGGTGAGGCCAAAATTCCTACTAAAAGTTACTATTCAGTCAGCTTGGACTGACCACTTTCAAGATAAGCATGAGCAACCATTTCCCCCAATCTTTTGAGCTTATTGATTTCAGGCAGATTTCTTGAGATTGGCTTAGTCCAATAGAACTCAGTCTTCGGGGAGTTATGCCAGTGATTCCTCAGGACACTCCACTCTCTTAAAACTAATCATAAATTTACTTTATGTCACTAAAAGAACACTAAATGTTCGCCTTCATTTTACCCTGAAAGTTCTGGCACTAAGACAAAGGTGCTGTGTATCAGGCTTTTGAACCTCGAGTTAAGAAGCCCTGAATTCAGATTCCACCTCTGACACTCACCAGC